GCACTGGGTGTTGTATGGAAACCAATTTGACAATAAATTTCATATATTGGAAAAAAAATAAAAAATAAAAAGTTTTAATGCTTAAAGCAAAATTAACACTATCTTTAAACAAGAGCAGCAACAAAAACTTATTTTGACATTTTCATTCCCTTAAAGTGCCAGATAAATTAAGCTATGCTAGGCTTTCATGTATTTAAATTTAAATACATGATTCTGAGCCTTTCTAAACTATATTTCACATATAATGCACTGAACTTAGAATTATTTTTGTTATTCCAAGAACTATATATATAGGTTGAAAATTTAAATGGCTTCTAAAATACTGACTTACATAAATTCATAAATGAAAAATCTGTAATGTTTTTTAGGAAAACTCGGATATTAATGAGGAGAGAGAATGCTTGCTGGCATTCTTTTATCAGAGAAGCTTTCATGTAAAGTGAGAAGGTCTTTTTTGTGAGATAAAAGTCTTTTGTCTTCAAAATAACTAATACTGGAATTGTCTTTTCAATGTAACTAAACAAGCTATGTTACTAGTATTAAAAATTTTCAAGTAAAAAAATTGTTGAAAAAAATTTTTGAAGTATTTTTCAGTTTTAGAGTATTTTTTAGTTTTTAAAGAGATGAGATTCCTTCTATGGAAAAAAATTATTAGACATGAACAGACATTCCTGCATCATCGTCATTTTGCTACTTAGAACACTTTACCTATTGTCTGCATATAAAGCTGACTTTTTATGTGTCTGCCCATTATTGCTTTTAGCTAGAGGTAGGATTTTTATAAGCATGTTCTGTAACAAAGGAGAATTTTTGAAATATGTTGACAGCCATGGAATTGGTATAGTTTCAAAATGCTTCTATAATCATTCACCTAAGGCTAAATAGAGTCAGAAAAATTTTCTTGATTGAAGTATATTACTACTCTTGAACTTTTTCTGGGATAACCATTCTAAATTTATTGTAATTAAGGATTACAGTGATTAAATGGTAGATTAGAAGTTTAAAATTATTAAAATATTTGTGGTAATGGGTGTGGAGAGCATTCTTAGTAGTGGAAATTGAAGGCCATAAATAGTCTTCATTTGAAATGATTATGTGTAAATATTATAATACATTTGTAATGAATAGAAATTAATTTAGTGGCTAAATCCTTGTATATTTCACAATCTTGTTTTTATTCTTTTTTTTTAAATAGTGTTTGCCAGCTCTGAGCCCGTGCCAGGATTCCAGGGGGATACCCTGCAGCTAGCATTCATTGACCTCAGACAAGTAAGATGTAATAATGTAGTTCTCACTTATTGCCATCAACTGTTGCCTTTTTTTTTTTCTAATGCTACAGGAATGCTTGCTCTTTTGCCTTGAAACAACCTTTCTTTGAAAAATTGCTTCTTTGATGACTATGAGTTTGGCCCTTCTCTCTGAACTTCTATTTCTATTTGGTGTCTCAACCTCATGGAACATTCTCATTGGTGAATATCTAACTTGGTCATTACCTTCTAAGCACATGACTAAATAACTTTATACTTTGGTGTAATGACACTTGAAATTTGAGTTCTTTGTTGTTTTTTTTTTTTTTTAATGTTTATATATTTATTTTGAGAGAGGGAAAGTGCATGTGTGTGAAGCAGGGAAGATGTAGAGGGAGGGGGAGAAAGAGAATCCCAAGCAGGCTCCACACTCAGCATGATCTTGATCACAGCCTGAGCCGCTGTCAAGAGTCAGATGCTCAACTGACTGAGCCACCCACGCACCCCTGAAGTTTGAGTTATTTCTTAATGATTTCATGGTGCTATATGAAAATTGGTGATATAATTAGTGTCAGGACCCAAGTCAAATGTAAATTATTACAATGTAGAAAGGAGCCCCTTGCTTAATATTTTGCCAGTGATAAAGAATGCTTTTTTTTAAATGTTTATTTATTTTGAGAAAGAGAGAGCACGCACACGTGTGCATGCACAAACAGAGAGAGAGGGTAAGAGAGAATCCCAAGCAGGCTCCAAGCTGTCAGTGCAGAACCAGACGTGGGGCTCGATCTCCTGAACCCATGAGATCATGACCTGAGCCGAAATCAAGAGTCAGATGCTTAACTGACTGAACCACCCAGGTGCCCCGAGAATGTTTTTTTCAGTAAATTATCTGTATGCCTCCAGAAAAAAGGATAAAACTACTTTTAAAAAGGTAATTATACATTAACATAATTCTTTTCTGGTCATGTAACTCTTGAGTAAGAAATATGATAATTTTTCAAAGTTTATTTAGAGAGAGAGAGCAGGGGTGGGGCAGAGAGGGAGGGAGAGAGAATCCCAAGCAGGCTGTGCACCATCAGCATGGAGCCCAATGTGGGGCTCAAACTCCCAAACTGTGAGATCATGACCTGAACCGAAATCAAGAGTCAGATGCTTAAACCACCGAGCCACCCAGGTGCCCCAATATAATATCTCCTAATCATTTTTAGTCTCTTCTAATCATTTTACTACTCTTTGACATTTCTACACTTGTCATTTTATTTAGTTCCTATTACCCTTTATCCATCTCTCCCATATTTTTTCTTATTATTTCTTTCTTCCTCTTTCCCCCCTCCTCCTTTTTTTTTTTTTCTTAATCTTAAGCTTAAGGAGTTTAATAGAGCTGAGAGGCACAGGAGTATGGAGGGGGGGTGGATCCAAGGTAGAGGGCTCAGGGATACAAAATTGACAACAGGAGTGACTGCTGCCCTTGACAAGAAGAACCAAATGGAGATGGAATTAAAACAAAGCCACTGTGGAGGTACCTAGCTGGCTTAGCTGGTAGAGCATGTGGTTATTGATCCAGGGGTTGTGAGTTCAAGCTCCACACTGGGTGTAGCGATTACTTTAAAATCTTAAAAAACAACAACAACACTGTGATTATTAGTTTATTAATGGTCCCAGCCCCTTTGGGGATGGAGATGACTGAAGATGGGGCCCCACCATTGATATAAATAGACTCTACCAACAGTGATGTTTAGAGCAGGACCAATTTGAGCAGTTAAGGAATTGTGATTTCAGTAAATGTTTAAGAATAGAGGTGTTTTTGCTTTAATTCCAAACCAGTGTTCTATAAACATGTATTACTATGTACTGATTATTTGGAGAGAGGTGATGTGGTTGAAATAGACACAAAAATAATATAAGAGAGAGTTTAGTTCTTGTGGAGCTTAAAACGCTTTTAGAGAAACAAAACACCCACAAACTGCTTAGGAATACTTACAGGACAGTGAGTCATGTGGATATAAATGGTGTATCTTCAAGATAGGTTTTGAAGGAAACTGAAAAAATTATTCCTGTCTCCCAATTTTATCTGTAAAGCACTGAACATATATGTTAATATTTATTTCTGTCTGCAGTCAATGCTCGTGTGTTATGCCACACCAGGAACAATGTTATGGATGACCTAGATCTGTAAATGATTAGCCTTACTAAGTTGGAGAAGATAGTAGAAAATGAAGAAGGTAGGCTCTGAACTTTTATTCTAGTTTACTAGAAGGTATTCTTTCTGTTGAAGGTAGGTCTATTTCTTTTAGGAATTCTCTCTGTTGCAGTCTTACTGCCCTGAATAAGATGATCTAATACAAAAAATGGAATCCTTTAGCAAGCTGGAAATAGGCTTGGTTGTATGTTCATTTCTCAGTTAGGTTACAGCCACGTACTGGGGTTAAGTTTCCCTGTTACAAGGACATGAATATGTTCTCCAAGCTAACGAGTATGTAATTTGAGGATATCTCCCATTATATACGAATAATCTGTTTCCAGAAAATTTGAAATTTATTATGTGATACTTTCTCAGTTTTGTATGAATTTGTATGGTGTTAACTAGTTGGTAATCTCATTGAAGAGTTGTGAATAGGACCACATAGGTTTTGAAGCTGTGGGTAAAAATTCTGTTCTTTGATTTGTTCAGATAGGTGGTTGGCTCAGTGCAGATTAAAACTCTGATCCCAGGTACTTTCTTCCTTCAAAGACACCAAAGAAAGCCTTTTTACAACCCTATGTAAAGCATTCCCTCATGGAATTATTATTAAGGCATACTTAGAAATATTAATAAAAATCTCAAGTCTTTTGGGTTGAATTTACTTTTCATGTAGGTGCACACAGACATTAAGTCCTGGTTGACTCTTCCTCATTAGTGTAACTTTTTAAGAAACTTTTAAGTGAATAAAAAAAATATATCGGAAATATTTAGAATTCTGAAATCTATTATGACACATGTAAAGCTGTTAAAGATTTATATAGAAATAACTCTTTAATATAAAACACAGTTTTGGTGTGCCTGGGTGGCTCCGTCAGTTAAGCGTCCGACTCTTGATTTCAGCTCAGGTCATGATCTCACAGTTCGTGAGTTCTGCACTCTGCACTGACAGTGCGGAGCCTGCTTGGGATTCCCTCTCCCTTTCTCTCTGCCCCTCCACTTGTTCTCTCTCTCTCTCTCTCTTTCTCTCTCTCTCTCTCTCTCAATGAATAAATATTTTAAAAAAACATTAAAAAACCACAGTTTTAAAGTATGATATTTAGAGGCACCTGGGTGGCTCTGTCAGTTAAGCATCTGACTCTTGATTTCAGCTCAGGTCATGATCCCCTGGCTTGTGGGATCGAGCCTCACTTCTGACTCTGCGCTGGCAGCGTGGAGCCTGCTTGGGGTTCTCTCCCTCTCTGCCCCTTCCCCCCCCCAAAATAAATAAATAAACTTTAAAAAAGTATGATACTTAGTATGCAGTGGAAGTTACTAGTGGATAAATTTTAATGAGCTCATTTTTAATGTATTATCCTAGTTTTTAAAAGGAGGCTAAAATAATTTTCCGTGATTATTAATGTTAAAAATTAATCATGCTTTATTTTTGTACTTTTGTATCCTGAAACAAGATGCTATTAATTTTTGTCTTTAGCTGCCGGACCACTGAGACATACTTGAATTTTACGGTATTAGAAGCTTGGATTTAATAACTTGACAAAGATAGTTATCTTTCATACACATTTGTTTTTCAAATTAATCTGTAAACAGTTAAGTGGTGAAATGCCAAGTATAGGAATTGACTGAAAACAAAATTAGTCTTTGATGTTTCATATGAGGTGATAGAAGTTTTTGTATCCGATGTCAGTGTTATTTAAATAAAGATGTCTTAAAGTTTCAATAATGTTTTAATGTTCCTGACTTCATAAAGACATTTCATGGAATATTATTTTAATACCTTTTATATGAAGTACTATATTACCAAACATAAAGAGGGTGCTAACACTTTTATTTACATTTCAGTTGGGTTTCTGCACCTTTCCTTCTTTTTTTCTAGTCTGTGATCCATTTCTGTCTTTTTTTTTTTTTTTTTAAATTTTTTTTTTTCAACGTTTATTTATTTTTGGGACAGAGAGAGACAGAGCATGAACGGGGGAGGGGCAGAGAGAGAGGGAGACACAGAATCGGAAACAGGCTCCAGGCTCTGAGCCATCAGCCCAGAGCCCGACCGCTGGGCTCTTCCTCGAACTCACGGACCGCGAGATCGTGACCTGGCTGAAGTCGGACGCTTAACCGACTGCGCCACCCAGGCGCCCCAGATCCATTTCTGTCTTAATAGGGTGGCTGACAGTTCTTTTCAAGTATACTTAGAAAGGCAAAAGAGCCCTTTTCATAGTACTTATAAGGGGTCATGCTTCTGTTTTTTAGTTTGAATTTGATACTGCTTCATGAATTGCTGGGTATGAAAGATTAGGAAGTAGGTCCAGTGGTCAAATTTTACCTGCCCACCCGGACTTTGCCCTGAGGTCAAACTCCTGATATTTGCTGTTCTGAATAGAGGAGTTGATGACAAGTATGAGCTGATACAAGAGGAAAGTTAGAACCATATCAAAGCTGAAGGCAGGAGAACTGGGACTCAATGAGAGACTGTAGCTAAAAGATGGATCATCAGAATTGCCCTCTTTTAAAGAAAAGGAAATAGCTGACCTTGAGTGAAAAGACTTTATCATCCTGCCAATCACATGCTTGCTAATGGAAGCCAGTTATCTCAACAACATCTTAAGGTCTTCTACCCCATAGACGATGCAGAGGACTAGTGGTACTGGGACTGCATTAGATGAAGGTACTGTCTCAGTCAATTTTAGATGTGCTGTTTTAATGTAATATGTATGTGTAAACTTTTTTTGTAAGTAAATCCTATCATCCTCCTACCCCCAGTTCTGAAATTAATTCACTGAACGAAGAACTTTGGAAACTTACACGTGTCTATTTTCTATAAAGACCGTCTATTTTGTTAAATAATC